GAGTGTATTATGCTAAGCAAAATAAGTCAGTCAGAGAAAGACAGTTATCCTATGATTTCACTCATATGTGGAATTTGGAAAACATGGCAGATGATCATAGGGGAAGGGAAAGAAAAATAAGATAAAAACAGAGAGGGAGGCAAACCATAAGAGAGACTTAAATATAGAGAACAAACTGAGAGTTGCTGGAGGGGAGGTGGGGAGGTGGGCTAAATGGGTGATGGGCGTTAAGGAGGGCACTTTTCGGGATCAGCACTGAGTGTCATATGTAAGAGATGAATCACTGGGTTCTACTCCTGAAGCCAAGACTACACAGTATATTAACTAACTTGAATTTAAGTTTAAAAAAAAAAACATGCTAAGGAAAAGAAAAAATTAAAATTAAATTTTAAAAAATGATCTTTGAGAATTTTTTTAAACAATGCAATAGATTTATGATGATTTATTTTCATTCTGACCCAGCTTCTCTGCAGCCAGTGGAAATTTTGGCCAGATATTTGACATCATTAGCCACAGAGTATATGACAGTGAAAGAGAACAAACTGATCTGCTGATAGATTGTGAGCCCGTAATTGTAGTCTTTATTAACACAGTACCCTAACCTACACTACACCATGCCTAGGAGTGCTATGTAATTTCATATTTACAAAATGTACACTGTTATATAAACATTATGAGTCCCACAGCCAAACAGTCTAGGTATCCTTTTTTTCACTGAAATGTGTTGTTTTTAAAGGATTTCCTCTGGTTTTCTGTTTTCTATTTGCCCTGTAATTGTCAGGATTCAAACAGGTAAATTGTCAGAGTTTTTGACAACATCTTGCTGCACACATTTGAGCTTCATGGATCCTGGACCTGAGGGTAAGCTGTACAGTGAAGATTACGATGATAACTATAATGAGCTGGAACCAGGTGACTGGATGAATGGCCACAGTTCAACCAGTAATGGTAAGGAAGCTTCATAAAGGCAGTGGCCTTGATGGGTAAGAATACAAAGTATTGTTGAGCATCCTCCTTAATATTTCTCACCACCAGCAGTTTCACTCCTATTTAATACACGTAGATTTCTACTTCTGTTTGGCTTCACTTTTTATCCTTCTACTTACCTTTGGTTCCTGGTCTAATATCCCTGTGGTGATTGTGAAGTGTGGAGTTTGACTATCTCCTACTAAGGTTAGGGAAGACTTCTTTCCTGGGTATAGAAAATGGCTAGTGACTTCAAAATGAGAGGAAACAATGGTAAGAGGTATTTAATCAAGCATGTAGTAGGAGAACTATACATATACAGTACTGCTTTTTGACACTTAAAAGCATAAAACTAAGAATCTCAGAGTACTTTTTATGTATAATGTTATTGGGGCACAGAATCTCTGGGGAGGTCCGCATAGTTTGAAAAAGCCTATTCAGTGTGCCTATTGCTTTCATACTACAAACTAGACAAATAAAGCACAAGAAATCTGACTGGCTGCTAGGAATACAAAGATGATATAGTGAGAAAGCATCATGGGGGCATATATTAAAAATGGCTGAGAAACACCCTAATGTGTTAAAATACCTAGGCAGGGCAAGAATTACATTGTGTGAATCCCAAAAAGAGAAGGGCCAATAAGAGTGAATTATTCTTCTAGCTATCTAAAATATGGTTTGCCTGCTTTCATTGTGTCTTTGACTGTTAGTCTGTTTCTTAAAGCAGCCAGTTTCTTTATCCTAAGAGTGGTGTGTTAGAGAAAAGAAAATAATTGGCTTTCCTTAGTGAAGTAGCAAGCATTATCTCATATGCAATAGACCAACACATCAGCATTCAGGATGATTTTCTTCTTTGGGCTCAGCATTTACTCACCTAAGTACCATTGAATTTATTCTGCATTTGTTTTTGTTAGATCTAAAATAGTGTGAATTTCTTTGTTGGAAAAATACATTAAATACAAGGTTATTTCCTGTTATTAATAATTACCAAAGTCATGATATCTATCTTGGCATAAACAACTACTTTGAAAACAAGACAAGAATAATCATATATTGAGGTTGTTTGCTATTCTATGGGTAGTTGGGATTTTCATCTGTAGCACTCATTCTTTTGGATTACTTTCTAAAACACAACTTTTTAATGATATATATGTGTATACACATATATACACATATATTACTAAATTTGATATTGTGCCTAAGTCACTTTCTCCTCTCTGGGTTTACTCATAGGTGGTCTCACAATGGCTGTGTTTATCGCTTGCCAGCTCTTCCATGCCAAGAACACTTCCCTCCATATTCTTCATAATCCTCCACTCAAGTATCTATATCATATTCAAGGTTATAATATTTGTCATTAGGATGTCACTGAGAATGATTTCCATTTTTACAGCTTTGCTAGCTTCCACTGATCACATCAGAACACAGAAAAACATCTGGAGAGATCACTGAAAATGATCAAAAACCAGATGATGTATAACTGACCTAGCAGACTTTAGTATGCATCCAAACGCTGTGATTTTCCTACTATAAATGTTGTAAATGTTCATGTAAAGTCTGAAACATTAGGATCCATGAGGTCTGTGTATGTATTTTGTTTTCATTATCCATAGTCAGGGACAATGTTATAGGAGGTGAGTGGGAGAAGGAGAGCCCAAGAGGATATGGACCGTATCTGTCTCCTTCATCACTGAAACCTCAGCAGCTAGTACACCACCTAGTACTTAGTAGGCAAGAAATATTTGGTGAATAAATGAAGGTGGTGACTTGAAAAGACCAATGTGTGGCCAGTAGTCCTTTTGACACCAGTGCCACACGGAGATTGTTTTTCCCATAGCAATTGTAGCTGCCATTTATGGAATTTGTCTGTTTTCAGCTAAGCTTGGGTTTAGTGGAAGATTTTTGTCTTTTCTCACAAAAGTCTCCTTATACCAGTAAGACTCCAAGGGCCCCATTCTGCTCCTCCTCTACCACCGCTGCCACACCACTACCATCACATTCACAGATTATAAAATCCTTGCTCCACCTGTCCTTAAAAAAACCTCATACTACTTTCAAGAGCCCTAATATTGTCTTAGCAAAGTTGAAGAACAGGTAGGTCCTGGTAAATGGCCATAGTTTCTAAATGGTAAAGCCAAGATGTTGTAAAATGATTACAAGTTCCCCCCCCCTCCACCTCCATGATCAAAAATAACCTACTTCTGGTGCTGTGTTATGGGCACAGGAGCCAATCATTCTGGTTGGTGGGGTAGATTGTAAACTAACTAAAATGTTCATTTTTTCTCTCCCCCTACCCCCACTAACCTTGCAGCTCGCTGTGGTGATGAAGTTGCTCGCTATTTAGATCACCTTTTGGCGCACACTGCTCCCCATCCTAAACTAGCCCTCACCTCACAGAAGGGAGGGCTAGATCGGTTCCGAGCTGCTGTGCAAACAACCTGCGATTTAATGTCCTTGGTGACCAAGGCCAAGGAGCTGCATGTACAGAGTGAGTAATGCCATGACTCACTGGAGTCAGGCACAGGATTGATGTGAAGCCCAGGATGGGGGCAGGGCGTTTATTAGCAGTGCAAGCAGGAACTCTGTTTTGTTCACTGCTTTATCCCCAGCATCTCAGACAGATGGAACACATTAGACACTCAAATATTTGTAAACTTAATAAATTGCATATAGTTTTGCCGTCGATGGTGCTATATGGTCTCATAGTGAAAAGAAGCAGAACAGGAGACATGGAGAATTTTAACATCAGTATTAAAGTGACAGAAAGAGTTTTTTCTTTTGGAAAAGTTACTCCTTTGGAAGCACTTTTATTTAAAGAGAAAGCCCTGCAAGCAATTACAAGATAATCTGGCAATGGAGAGGGAGATACTCGCCCTTAAGTAAGCTGCATCTGGTTACCTTATGTCAGCTGTGACATTTACAGTCAGTTGTTCTAGCAGCGCAAGAGCTGTGTTTATTCCTCAACTGCAGTACTCCCTATACAACAACATTGTCATTGTCCTCCCCATGACCACTACCCCCCTTTGGCAGTATGTGCAGTGGAGGGTGTCACCTACCACCCATTGCTAGGAGGAGTCATCGTTCCTAAGAGTACTCAGTGCCACTGTGGTAGCTGCATCTGAAGGGACAGAAGGGCTCCTTGGCCACACCTAGGGGGCCTAAATGGTAACATTTTATAGATGAGAATGATTGAGATGCATGTTCTTGCTGTCTAAAACTTTATTGACCATTACTAACCAAAAATAATTAAACATGAATCATTTAACATTTCAAAGATGGAAAAGCTTAGCATACCCTTTGAGTATGCTCCCTTGACCAAGGGCTCATGTGAAGAGATCGCCTTTCTTAAGTTCTACTTCTAGATTGCAAACCAGGAAACTTAAGCTTAATTCCCAGCTCTGCTACTTACTTGCTTGAACAGTTATTTGAGCTCTGTATCTCTCTTTCTATATCTGTAAAATGGTGAAAGTGACAAGACAGTCTCTCTGTTGAGGTTATGGTAAGTATTTGGACTGTCAATGGACTATAAGTAAAAATATTAGGAATATCTCGAAGTAGGTCAGCCACTACATTTTTTTTTGATTCCCTACATAGGGATAAACATCTGTTTATCTATTCTCAAGGAAATCCAACTGCTGACAGCCAGATATTTTCCCAGGGTAGTCCAGAAAATAGAAAACAGAACTGGGTTCTTTCTGTTACATATGGTATTCGATCAAAGTATCAGTGATGGCACCATTTTGGTATTGATTACATTCATAGAGTTTAATATCTTAAATGTCCATTTAATGCTACAATTCTAGGCATTCCATGGAAAATATGGTTGATTGAACAATCTTTAAATTATCTGATATTCATATTTTTCTTTGATATTAGCAAGAAAGGATAAATTTCTCACTCTTGTTCTATATAATATAAAGAGCAACTCCTATACAACTTGATTTTGAGAGCAACTGTGAATTAGTTGTTTTTTAGTCTCCTAAGTTATCTAACCTTTCCCATAAATGTCAACCTCTTGCAGATGTTCACATGTATCTTCCTACAAAGATATTTCAGGCTTCCCGGCCTTCATTGAACTTACTTGACTCTCCTCATTGCCCACGAGAGGACCAGGTAAACTTGCACATGACATATTTGCCAGCTCTTTGCAAAACCACCATCTGTATGGCAAATAACAGAACTAGCCCTTATGGTTTCTGCTAATAACTGGTGGTAGGCAAAATGCTACCCTGGTGAAGATATACTCCTTTTTAGGTCACTTTTAAAATGAGCAAGTTTTGGGGTGCCTGGGTGGCTCAGTAGGTTAAGTGTCTGACTTTGGCTCAGGTCGTGATCTCGGGGTTCATGACTTCAAGCCTCAATCTGGCTCTGTGCTGACAGCTCAGAGCCTGGAGCCTGCTTCAGATTCTATGTCTCCCTCTCTCCCTGCCCCTCCTCCACTCACTCACTCTCTCTCTGTGTGTGTCTCTCTCTCAAAAATAAACATTAAAAAATAAAATAAAATGAATAAGATTTTCCTAGCCAGGCTCTAAGAAAATGAAATTGTTATGTCATTCATGTTGAATATTTCATTGTTTTTGTTTTACTTTCCATCAAAATGTAGGGAATTCTTACAGAAAAGCTTAGAGGTGAAAAGATCGACACTCTAGGGCACTATTTAAGTTGAGCATTTGTGGACTTAAGTTTTTCTGTCCTTTCTCAAACTAAAGGTTCCCTCTGTTCGTGTAGAAATACATCTTCCTAGAGACCAATCTGGGGAGGTGGACTTCAAAGCACTCATTTTACAGTTGAAGGAGACCTCCAGCTTACAGGAGCAAGCTGACATCCTTTACATGCTGTATACTATGAAGTAAGTGATAGATATTATCACTTTAATGTTCATGTAGAGGGGAAGTATAACATAGTAAATAAAACACAGTTTTGGAGTCTCATTGACCTGGATTTGAATTTTGCCCCTACCCACTGTGTAACTTCAAAGCCTCAAGTGTCCTCATTTATAAAATTTGGATTACGCCTACCACATAAAATGTTGTAAAGATTAAACAAGATACAATATCTGCAAAGTCTCTAGTACAATGCCTGCTGCAGAGTAGGTGACCAATAACTGGTGACTATTATTATCATTATTATGGATATTTTAAGCCTCTGTAATTTGTTAAAAATCCACAGTTAAATAAATTCTAAACTCAAAAGAAGTAAGAAGATGGAGGCTTACAGAAAAAATAAACTAACATTTCTGAGTGTTTGCTATGTGTCCAGAACCCTGCTAGATACATTATATGTAGGAACCTCACACTCAGCGTGCCCAAGTGGAACTCTCTCCTGTCCCTTACTTCCTCCCTGCAAAACATAACCTGAACTTCCTCATTTATTCATGTAGTCATCAACCTGAAGAGGCAGATCCCCTCCCCTAAATTTGGTTTGGATGCTGAGACTGATGATGCCACACATGTACCAAAAGTCTGTAAAATGTTTATTACTCACATAATGAGACTTCTGGGGAGAGTGGAACAGATTCCAAAGTTGGTCAAACAAAAATAAAAGCTTAAGTGAGTAGGGAAAGGAGGCTGGATTGGGGTTTTATTACAATCAGGAGGTGAAGCTGGGATAAAGTTTGTCACCAGCACCAAGAGAGGAAACACTTGGATTTTTCTGGCACCTTGCCCAGATGTAGGCTGGAAGGGAAAGAGGACTTGAAAGTGGTCAGCCAGTCAAACATTAAAAATGGAGTTATATTCTGAAATTCTACATCCTTGTTGTTGGACCCAACACCTACCTACTCAGCACGCTTCTCCCCATATGCAGTTAATCGCCAAGTCTACTCAGTTTTACCTCTAAATATTTACCTTCTGCATCTCTGGTACTGGGGCCTTCACTCAGGTCTTTGTCTCTCACCAGGACTATTGCTATAGCTTTGTAACAAGTCTTCCTATTTTCATCTTGTTCTCCTGAAGCCCAGCCTCCACAGAGGAGAGAGAGTAACTTTTCTGTTTTACTTTGTTTTTTATTCAATTTTTAAGAGAAGATTCTAGTTATTTTTTATGTTTTTATTTATTTTTGAAAGAGAGAGAGAGCACATGCACACACAGTGGGGAGGGGCACCGAGAGATAAAGACAGAGGATCCAAAGTTGGCTCTGTGCTGACAGCAGAACCTGATATGGGGCTCGAACTCATGAATCATGAGATCATGACCTGGGCTGAAGTCAGACACCTAACCTACTGAGCCACCCAGGCACCCCCTGTTTTACTTTCAATGATAGAAATGTCCAAATTTATTTAAAAGTAGAGAGAATGGCATAATGAACACTTTGAGACCCATCATCCAGCCTGAACAATTATAAAGACATGGTTAACCTTGTCACATCTATATTATCTCCCTCTCTTCTCCCAGATTGGTTTGACAGAGAAACCAGACATCTTATCATTTATCCCTAAATATTACAGTATTATTTCTAAAAGTCAATGCATCTCGTAAAACAAGACCACAGTGGGACTTCTAGTTCCAGACAAGATACACTACATACATTCTTCTCTGTTCCTCCTGCTAATTACAGGATGACATCATTTGTAAAACAAACATAACAAGGTGTTAAAGTCTGGACAGAAGAAGGTAGACTGGCTAAGGACCTCAGGATCTAAGGAATGACAAGGTGGTGATGTCCCTTGGGTTCCTTTGTTCCATGTTGCCTTTGGGTCCCACATCAGATGACAGAGAAGCCAGCACCCCGAAAATGCCAATGGGCACAGACACCAAAAGCCCGATGAAAAACTTGTTCTTTCTAGACAAAGGACTAGGAAAGGGCAGACTAGCAAGACCAACAACATTGAGACAATGACCACTCTACTGGAGCCAAGCACCATAGAAGAATCTGTGGCCCCACCCCTGTCCAGAAGGGCTTAGCTTGAAGCCCAGACTTCCACTCCCACCCCAGTATAACAAAGCAGGCACTACCTCACCTTCTGCACTGCCAGGGTAGTGTCAAAGAAGACTAAGTAGGTATCTAGGACTTTCATCCCCTCTAGGTGCTAATGAAGTCCCCTTGGTCTGTGTGACTCCCAAGCTCATGCTGCTTCCATCTGATTGTGGTGTTTAGTGAGTAAATGAAAATGACAGCTGAAAATCCCACCAACACCAAACGCATATTTTTACACATCCAACTGTTACCAAAGTAGCCCCAACATACTTTTAGCTACGTAGGGCCTGCCTGCTTTGTATACTCCTTGAAACCTACTCCATATCTGCTAACAAGAGGTAAGCCCAGGGCCATGAATAGTACCCCAAACCACTGCTGACATTTAATGCTCTCTAACCTAGAGAATCCCCACAGTGCTACTGAAGCACATCACTTAGACATGTAACTTCCTCTTCCTCCTGTCCTCTGGGAGTTTCCTTGCCCTCCACACCTCCTGGATGGTAGAGCTGGTGCCTTGAATAAACCTCCAGGCAGTCTCATGCTGTGAGGGACTTCCCTTATCCTACAACCCTAAGAGCCACCCCATAAGTCTTGTTATGTGCTACTGACAAAAAAAAAGACATGGGGTCTTATTATTTTGATACCTTTGTTTCTTTCATTTTTCCTTTAGGGTAAGGCACTTTATTCAACAAATACCTGTTGAGTACTTATTATGTGCCAGGCACAATGCTAAATGCAGCATAACAAAAAGATAGAGAGGGTAAAATGAAATAAGGGGTAAGCTTGAATGAAACCTGACGAGCCAGCTAGGTAGTTGATATGGGAAAACAAAGAGAGTTATACCTGAAAAGTTCATACTTTCCCACCAATTCAGATGATCAATGATTGGCTGCCAACTCTTTGGCTCCTAACACGAGTTTTCTTCATCTAATCCTGTATATTAACTTCACCATAACATCTAATCAAACCTACAGTCTCCCTAAAACTAGTATTCCAGGTGATGTCAAACCACTTGACTAGAGTGTGTATGATGTGCTGCATGGGTTTTAATACACTTGGAATTCTGCCCAATATCCCTTGTGGATTTAAGAGTAAAAGTTGAGGGGCACCTGGGTGACTCCATCAGCTAAGTGTCTGACTCTTGATTTTGGCTTAGGTCGTGATCTCACGGTTCGTGAGTTTGAGACCTGCATCAGGCCTGTGCTGAGGGCTCTTTGCTGACAGCACAGAGCCTGCTTGAGATTCTCTCTCTTCTTCACTCTCTGCCCCTACCCCGCTCCCTCTCCCTCTCTCCCTCTGTCTGTCTCTCTCAAAACAAATAAATAAACTTTAAAAAAAGTAAAAGTTGGGAGATAGGGTTTCCTATCTCTGTTGACTAGCATTCCTTCTATGAATTGTTTATAACCTTTGTTTGTTCTCTGTTGGGTTTTTTATATATTTCTCATTGATATTAGATGTCACTATTTTGTTAGTTACAGTTGTTACAGATATTTTATCCAAATAATTTGCTAATTATATGCTTTTCTCTATGCAGAAGTTTAATTTTTATATCATAAAATCTGTCAGTCTTTCCTTTTTGGCTTTTGGGTTTCTTGTTATGCATCCCCTCCCAGAATTTTAAAAATATTTTAAATACCTTTAATAATTTTTTTAGATTATATGTCTTTAATCTACTTAGAATATATATATGTCTTCTTGCTCAGCATATCTAATACCCAGTTCACTGCCTTTATCGGAAAGCCACTGCTCCTGGCCATGTTCATGGTATCATCCTTCTTTTAGTCACCCAGGCTTGAAATTGTGTCATCATCTTCAGCTCCTCCTCATACCCTGCCTCTCCCTGCAACATCATCACTACCATTGGGAATCATGGGCCAAATATACATCCTCTATGATCTTTCAACCTTTGTCTACCATTGCTCCCCACTCACATTGTGAATTCTTTCACCAAAACAGCCTGCTACTTACCATATCCAAACACAGCCTATACATGACTACCTTCATACCGTGGCTCATGTTTTGCCTTCTGCCTGGACTACACTCGTTTACCACACCCCATCTCTCCTCATTGGAATTCTAGCTATCCATCACGGTCTATTCACCTGTCACCTTCATAAAGCTTTCTCTGACCTGTGGGAATAAAAAGGATCATCCCTGATTCTGAGCTCTCAAAACATGTATTTTAATACTATTCATTTATCTATTTTGATTTTGACGATTTCAAACTTAGAGAAAAGTTGTAAGAATAGCACAAAAAATTTTCTGGATATCCTTCACCTAAATTCCTCAGGTTTACCTTGAGCTTTGATCTCAGTCTCAATTTCTCTCTCTCTTTCTTTCTGTCTCTCTCTTACTCATTCTCTGTCATCATCACCATCATCATACATACATACATATATCTTTATGAATCATGTGAGAGTAAGTGGCAGACATGATCCACATGATCCCTTTCTATCCTAAGTGTTTGAGTATGCATTGTGTATTTCCTAAAGACTAGGAATTCTCTTACATAAGCACAGTACAATTGCCAAAATCAGAAAATTAATGTTAAAACAATAGTATTATTGAATCTACATACCAGACTTGTCAGTTGTCCTAATAATGTCTTTATAGCAAAAGAAAATCTAAATTACACATTTCGGGGCACCTTGGTGGCTCAGTCAGTTGAGTGCCTGACTCAATTTTGATTCAGTTCATGATCCCAGGGTCGAGGGATAGAGCTCTGCATTGGGCTCTGTGCTGAGCATGAAAGCCTGCTTAAGATCCTCTCTCTCTCTCTCTCTCTCTCTCTCT